TCACATTGGCATTCTGTGAGAGCGTAGTTCTGCCCCTGTCGAGCCGACACATTTGTACTGCAGCCTCTACTTAGTAAAGCATATGTTCAAATTCAACTTTTTTATCAGATAGGGTGACAAACGAGCACACAGTCCAGCTGATGGTAAGTGATTGCTGTGGCCCATAGACATCTAGATATATCCTCGTTTGCGAATCAAAATGCAGATGCGTTGTCACCCATGAGGACTAAGATGGAATGCCTCTTTTCCAGTAAAATGTGTCTCCGGTTCTTTACACTCACCATACGAAACATAACAGTGTTAAGCAGCTATTTTACGCTGGTATTCTGTGAGAGCGTGGTCCTTCCCCGATCGAGCCGAACCATTCGTGCTACAACTATACCAGTAATATAGCTGCAGCATGGCTCTACCACTTAAAAATTGATTGTCTACGAGCAACACTCGCCGGAGGTACACGTCTCGGTACTGTGCTTATTTTTATCTTTTTACTCAGTACCGGTACGGCTGTTCCATATCAAAACCTAGTAAGTGACATTAAAATAATTATTATTCAAAATGGCGACGAATATTGTACTCCATTTCTGTCTGAAATCTGGCTGTGTGAGTACTACTTACTTATGTGTACTGTGTTTCAGTCTGAAGGTTATAGATATCCAATATAATAGCACGCTGTGAGGAATTTCATCACCACAAGGGTGACAATGCACCTATAGCTTTCTTTGTTTGAAGTTGGCTGCATGTGTTCATGGACTTCCCCCCGAACCTTGTCAAACAACCTTGTTGAACAAGGCCTTGTCATGGCGAAGGAGCTTAGCAGCCGTCACTTGGTCACCCGCGGTGAACGAAAAGGAACCCCAGGCCGGTCCGAGGTGTAGGGCCGGCCCGATATAGCTACTCTGAATGGGCTTGGCGAATCCACTTCGGTTGTGTGTTGGTGTGAGGGGTGTCCCCCTACCGCTTCACCTGAGTCGGAGTCACGGGGGAAGAGGAGTGTAGGAGGTATGGCGATGCACTACTCATCCTATACTCCGCGACTCTGACGGGGCCGCACCGTTGATTGATGCGGTCGTGGTCGATCTGGGGGAGTGGGGGAGAGGAATGTTGGTATTGTGAGACGCCGCTCTCCCTGCCATCCGCGGCCGAAATATGGTTAGTGGCGGAGCCAGAAACCAGAGCTGCGCTGGGGACGGGAAAGCTTGTGCTTCCGAGTGCTCGCTTTTCCTGGCCTCATGGTCTCGCTTATTGAACTCGGGGAGGGTCCATTACGCAGATGGAGTAAAAGGTCGAGGAGGAAAGAGCGCCTTGTGTTCCTGGTGCGCCTTATCTGGGGCCGCAAATGTGTGCGAAAGCGTTCCTGTGGCCCTGCCAATATGCAGCGAAGGTGGAACACCATGGGGTCTTAGTAGGTCCGACATAACCTGTACTTGCGCAGGTATTTCCTCATGTTATAAAAAAGGTGTTCAAGGACTGTAGTAGCCAGTTACCATCATGTGGATTGAGAGTTCGTTAACGACTTTAATTTTGTTAAACAAAATTAAAGTTTCAAGTTTCAAGTAGCACATCCGGAAGTTAGTTTAAAATTGATTACAAATTTCCAACGAACATATAAAGAGAAAATGAAACAAGTTAGTTAAAAACGTGGTAATTAAAAATGTAGATTTTAAATCTTACTTAGTAATTCTCTGCAGATAAATGAAAACACCAGCTTTAAATCCTTAAAATTAATTCTAATAATTTAAATCTTTAGAAGAAAAAGGATTATGAATAAAGGACTGTCTTAATTTAAATTCTTTAAAGTTAAAGTCATTACTTGGTTTTGAAATAGGACAACCGCGTTCCTTGATAATAGGCAGCTTAATCACTAGGTAAGCTATTCGAATATATATAGCTAGTTACGTCATTACCGATATTACGCTCGTATCCATATCGAGGGACGTTATCATGAGACCTATAATAACTGAATAGGATAATAATAATAATAATTTATTTCAGACTCATATACAGTTCATAATTGAGTTTGTAATTTGCTTAAGCTACGTTATTTGTAAATATTACTACAAAAACTTTTGAAATCCTGTAATCCAACGGATTAGCAATAGCCCGGCCATATAGCTCAAACAACTGACAACTGATGGGGAAGAAAGGTTTTTGTCTGGCAGCCTCGTACGGTTAGGTAAAATGTAGGGCGGCCCCGCACTAGATGGAGTGACGACCTGGTAAGAGATGCAGGAATTCGATGGATGTAGGTGACTCAGGACCATGCTTTATAGTGTTCCTTGAGGGAGGCTTATGTTCAGCAGTGGACTTGTGAAGGGCTCTAATGACACACGCATCAAATACTCTAGGACTGGACAATCAAATTTATCAGATATTGCCCTCGGAATCCCATTGAAGCTTTCTCACATGAGGGATGCGAATCTCTTTTGAATAATAGCATGAAAGCCGTCCGGTATAATATGAAATCGGTGTAAAGTACTTGGTTAGACAGAAGAAGAATTGTTCGGATTAATTCCAGCCGCCAAATTTCACCTACGCATATCGCGACAAAAGTCGTGATACCATCTACACCATCTAGATGCTCGGCGGTCCACCACAGTACGTTTCAGCGGGAGTTTTCATTCTCGCACGACTACTTTATGGAATCTTTTACCACCGGCAATATTTCCGGATTGAAACGAGTAAGAAGAAATGAACTCCTTTTTTCAAAAGGCTGACAACGCCCTTGCTCTTGTAGTTGTTCGTGGGCGGCGGTCAATACTTAACGTCAGATGAGTCGTATGCTGGTTTGCCCGCTCTTATATCCATATAAGAAAAAATACCAAGCGTCATCTGCTCAATCACCATCATATTTTGGCGATTGACTGATGGCGCAATACCCTCCCAAATACACTGAATCCAAATTTGACATGCTGGTGTTTTTTTTTTTTTATAGGATAAGGGTGACAAACGAGCACACAGTCCACCTGATGGTAAGTGGTTGCTGCGGCCCATAGACATCTACATCTGTCCTCTGTTACAAATCAAAATGTAGATGCGTTGTCACCCGTGAGGACCAAGATGGAATGCCTCATTTCCAGTAAAAAGGGCCTCCGGCCACCTGCACTCACCAAGCGAAACGCAGAGGTAAACCTCTACTTCACGCTGGTTTTCTGTGAGGTCGTGGTACTACCCCGGTTCGAGCCGGCCCATCCATGCGACAGCAAAAGCTGCCGCGTGGCTCTACCACTGTTAAAATGTGTTACGGCATTAGCTCTGCGGTCACCAATCCCTCTGCTCAGTATGGTAAGTATGGGCAAATCTTGGTAATACTTAAATTATGCTGCCATAAAAAAGTCTATTACCCAATTTAATCCAGTGGGTGTCGTAAATTGCTACTTATGGAAATGGTAGTACAACATAATAGCTTTCGTTGGATGTGATGCTGATATTATCTCGTTTACGGTAGATGAAAATACCCAAACCGGTAACTGGCAGCAGAGTCAAAGGTACTTGATATCTGGTACTGTGATCGTCGATCCACCTGCCAAGCGTGACGATGAAAGCAAATTCTCCCTTCAACCTCTCCTTTCCATTATAGCCTATAAAAGTTCACAGCTGGACATATGTGGCCCTCATAGATTGCCTCATTTGCCATAGTTGACTAGCTTGGTATGGTGGTTGACAATCGCCGTTTTTATGTTATTTAAGTGGTCATCAGGAAGATGCAGCTGTCCATCGCGTGTTTCAATTTCCATCTGCCGCCTCCTTCAACACCCACAGGATGGTATGGGGTAGTATATATTCTTACATGGCCACTACACGGTGATCAACTGATGACCACACGGTACAAATCTCTTCAACGGGAAAGACCAATGTCCAGCGGTACATTTACGGGTTGATATAGGATATGAAGAAGACGGCTTAAGAGATGATATTATTTCCGATTGTTGTCTCTTGATGAAACTCGCTTTTCCCTTATATTTTTAGATGTTCCTATTAATGTTTTTGTTTGTCCCGTATGAGGTCCCTGACCATCAAACCTATTACGATGAAACTTTGGTGAGTTTTTGTGTGCGTGATCACGTATGTTTCTGACAGAAAAGGCACCTGTTGCACGCATGTCGACCATAGCTAGTTCAACAAATAAACGGACCAGTTACAGTATAATCAAACCTTATTAACAGATACACCGTAGACTTATTTAACAAGTTTCAATGCAATAATCAGTTTTTTTTTATATGAGAAATGAGCACTGATGATAAGAGCTTAAATGAAAACTGCAACACCAAGGGAATTATTACAATTGTTATTATTAAATAAAATAATATTCATTGATAACAAATTAATAGTCTTTATTTCATTTAACATCTCAGTAGTCAAACTATCGCAGCACAAACACGAAACTAAATTCTAGATTTATTTACAAAAGGTTATGCTATAGCCAAAGTGTAAAATCGGGTGAAAGTAGCAATTAAGAAAAAGTAAACAAAAAATAGTTTGACTGATAAACGAGTTTGCAGAACACTGGCAAAGCTACAACCGTAGCCTTATAAATAACATTTATTTCATGCCTAAAAGACATCAATAAATATTCATTACAAAAAATGCTGTTTTTCTGCCGACTTCCAAAAAGGAGACGGTACTCAATTCGACTGTATGTTTTTTATGTGTGTTACCTCATAACTTTTTACTGGGTGAACCGATTTTGATGATTCTTAAGCTTCTGATTCTTAAAGCTGGTACTTTTCTTGTGGTTCCATATGAATTTGATCAAGTTCAGTCCAATAGTTTTTGAGTTATCCTTAATAACTTATATTGAAGTCGGCTGTACAAAATTTTTAATTTTCTTTAAATTTTTTTTTTCTTGATTCTAAAATAAAATTGATTCATAATTTTAAATTTCCCACCAAACTTTATACAAAGTTCCAATAAAAGATCACTTGAACATTTCACACAGCGCCCGATTTCCAACTTTGACTGCAACATACACATTTCACGACGAAATGCGTGTCACCACGTTGTCATCTCTTACAGCGACACATCCGCTTGAGTGCTCGCTTCAGACAAGCGAAGTAGTGTATCACTTGTTCCTACAAATCAAAAATTCAACGTTATATAGGTACATAATTTTAGTGCCAAACAAAACCAAATATTGTTATTTTTACAAGGTTTTATTTAATTTGCAATGTAACTATGTGTGTTCGGATGGAATCTTACAACAAAAATTCAAGGCAGATATCTTCAACCGATTGAGCTGAAATTTTGTATACACGTTTAGTTTAGATGACAATGCAGCTGTGTGACGTCACTCTAAATTCAATATGACGGACCTCTAAAAATGGCGGACTAAGTTTATATGCTTTTCTACAATATGGAAGATTTGCTGAGAATATTTATTGCGAGTTAAAAAATATAATGATCATAACCTACGTTGCTCCAATCCGTCTAAAAAAAGTTAGACTATTCGAAATTAACCGGCAACTGACCATGCAACAATGATGATGACCATGAACAGACTGAGAAACCTGTCCGGCGATAACTAAAAAGTAAATTTATTTAATTTACTAGCTTATCTACACAGGTAAATTTCGTCGTGACGTTCTAAGTTGATAGTAAAAATTTTAAGGGAAAAGTTTACTTTATTCTTTTTAGCGCATTTAAATAAAAGCTTGTTATTAAAAAAGTTTTTTTTTTACTTTTAATTTATTTATTTCATAAAAAATATTTTATTTTATTTTATTTAAAAATGTATATGTTTATATTCGTAGTAGTTATACGTAGAAAAATTTACCATATAGAAATATAAAATACCCCCATATCATCCCGTGGGCGTCGTAAAAGGCGTCAGATGGAAACAAATCAGGAGATGGGTAGCAGCGTCTTTCTAATAACGACTAAAAATAAAAAACTGCGGTTGCCAATTCGCTTGCCAAGCGTGGCAACTATCAGGTAATCTATAGGGGACGCCTATGTTCAGTAATGGACTTTAATCTGTAACGTTAACGCTCACAGTAGAAAAATTCACGTATCTTACGTGAATATTTCATCAAGTAAATGTGTCTTCTCAACAGCACTTGTGGAAACACTTATCTTCTTTTTACAAATATACAATTCTACTCTACTTATGTACTTGTGTACTGGACCGATTGCGTGAAATTTTTTGTTTATTTCTTTAATAGGATAGGGTGACAAACGAGCACACAGTCCACCTGATGGTAAGTGGTTGCTGTGGCCCATAGACATCTAAATCTATCTTCGATTACGAATCAAAATGCAGATGCGTTGTCACCCGTGAGGGCTATGATGGAATGCCTCGTTTCCAGTAAAAAGGGTCGCCGGTTCTCTACACTCACAATACGAAACAACAGTTTAACACTGCTTAAACTGCTATTTCACGCTGGTATTCTGCGAGAGGGCGGTCCTTCCCCGGCCGAGCCGACAATTTCTTGCTACAACTATACTAATAATATAGCTGCAGCATGGCTCCACCACGTATGTATGTTTGAGTGGGTCCCAGGCTGGCTTAGAATTTAGATTCACAATTGGATTTGATAGGTGGCGCTGTTGTTGAGATCCAGTAATCACCCATGCGAAGTCGGGGCGGATCGCTAGTTAATTATAATATCAGAGTGAAACGATTTAACTGTACACCTGGTGGTAAGAAGCGACTGCACGTATCATCATCAGCCCGTATAATTTCTTTCCTAACCACGTTTGGCGTAAACGAGCTGGTTATACTGCCGTAAGTCATAAGATTTTTATGGCATTTCCCAAGGTCATGTCTTACGACTCCAACGACACGTAATGAGTTGATGGGTGCTTTTAAGCCGTCAACATACGGCAATTGCGCCCGTAGACTCTTGCAACAAACAGCAAACAAAAGACACAGATGTGGTGTCACCCTAATAAAATACAGCATATTATATTAAAAATAAACCAAACGTTTTGCTTCGTCTTTTGCAATGCGTACAGCAAAGGAGTGGAATAATTTGCCGGCGTCTATCTTTCCGTCCGAATACAATCTGGGCGTCTTCCAGGCAAGAGTGAATAGGCTTTTGTTACGATAAGACAGTGCGATTTACTATCTAAGGCACACAGAATACCGGCGTGAAGTAGAAGCTCTGCTTCTGCGTTTCGTCTGGTGAGTGCAGGTGGCCGGAGGCTCAATTCCCTCCCCCCCCCCCTATCAACATGGTACCGGAATTACACGAAAGACTACCCCAGGAGGGTACCAGCACCCCTGGAGAATCCCTCGCTGAGCATCCACGACCATGTTATTCCACTCCTGAGTGTGGGTGCTCAGGCTGCCCCGCGTATTCTGGGGGGGGGGGGGGGCAAAATTCCGCTCAAAAACATAACTGCTTGGGGCACACTGAGCAACAATACCAAGGCGACCCTTGCCACCTCTGTGAATTTCTGCAACATCAGGGGACTTCACTTGAAACTAAACGCCGTCCACTACCATCTCGAGACGGCGAAGCTGGCCTTGCTCTTTCTGACCGAGACGCAGGTTTCCTCTCCGGCTGATATTGCGTATCTCTCCTGCCCGGGGTACAAATTGGAGCACTCCTTTGTGCCTCGGGCTGGAGTTTGCTTGTATGTAAGAGAGGACATCTGTTCTCGACGTCTTGGCAGTCTTAAAGGTTCGGACCTGTCCATCCTTAGGCTAAGCGTAGACAGCAACGACCATCCGCGCGTCTACGGGTGCCTCTATAGGTCCCATAGCGGTAATGCCGAAACAGACCGACACATCGACCACGTCCAAATGGCTACAGATTTCTTGCTACAACAGGTTCCATCCGCAGAGATCGTGATCCGATTTTAACGCCCACCACGCCGAATGGCTCGGTTCACGTTTAACCGATCATGTGGGAAGATTTGTTTATGACTTTGCCTTGACATATGGTCTGACACAACTGGTTACTTCGCCTACGCGGATTACAGATGTGGAGAATCATACACCTTCCCTGTTGGACCTTCTGCTGACCTCTAATCTGGACGGATATCAGGTATCCGTCGATGGCCCTCTCGGCTCTTCGGACCATTGTCTGATCCGGAGTGTGTTGCCACTCACGCTCCCCTCGCGGTTGCGTTCTGCAGGTAGCCGCCGTGTTTGGCATTACAGGTCGGCAGATTGGGTCGGAATGCTGTCTTTCTTTGCATCCTACACATGGGGGCAGATTTGCTTCTCGCCGGATTATCCCAGCGCTGTTGCTGACTCTGTCACTGATGTGGTGCTACAGGGAATGGAACTATTTATTCCATCATCTGTGGTACCCATCGGAGACAGATCTCAGCCTTGGTTTGGTCGCTCCTGTTAGACTGCATTACGCAGTAAGCAGGAGTGTTATCAAGCCTGGGCTACGGCTTCGGTGACTTGGGATGTAAACACCAGCACACTTAAAAAGAAGTATAACTTCGCCTCCAGGTCCTTCAAAAGAGTTATTGCCAAGGAAATGTCAGAGCACATATGCAGAATTGGCGAGAAACTAGTTCGCCTTCCTTCGGGAACCCGTGCATTCTGGTCTCTCGCCAAGGCTGTCCAAGGGAATTCCTGTAAGCCATCACTACCATCTCTGCACAGGGAGGACGACTCACTGGCCCAAGCCGCAAAAGACAAAGCCGATCTTTTAGGCTCCCTTTTGGCGTCCAACTCGACTCTTGATGACGGGGGGAAAACACCGCCGACCATCCCGCGGTGTGAGTGCCCCATGCCGGATGTGCTGTTCTCACAGCGCTCGATTCACAAAACACTCCTCTCCCTGGACATCCAGAAGTCGAGCGGGCCTGACGCAATCCACACAATTGTGCTGAGGACGTGTGCTTCGGAGTTGGCACCGGTCCTAACGCGTCTTTTCCGGTACTCCTACTCCCAAGGCGTAGTCCCGAATTCATGGAAGACAGCTTTTGTCCACCCGATCCCTAAAAAAGGCGACCGCTCAGACCCGTCCAACTATAGGCCTATCGCTATCACTTCCTTGTTCTCCAAAATAATGGAATCCATTATTAACTGCAACCTCATGCGGTACCTTGAGGATCACCAGCTGATTAGTGACCGCCAATACGGTTTTTGTCGAGTTCGATCACCTGGTGATCTTCTGGTCAACCTGACCCTTAGGTGGGCGGAGGCAGTAGAGTCCAAGGGGGAGGCGTTGGACATTGCGTAGGCCTTCGATTGGGTTTGGCACAAAGCGCTTCTTTCGAAGCTCCCTTCCTATGGGCTTCCCGAGAAATTGTGCAATTGGATCACCAGCTTCCTTGCAGATCGGAGCATCAAGGTCGTTGTAGACGGTGCATGCTCCGACTACAAGCCTATTAACGCTGGTGTTCCACAAGGCTGTGTGCTATCACCAACGCTGTTTCTTCTGCATATCAATGATATGTTGCTAACTGGTAGCATTCATTGCTATGCGGATGACAGCACTGGTGATGCTCTATACACCGGCCATGCCAATATTTCTCGGGAAAACGTCGCCGAGTACCGGAACAAACTTGTATCTGAAGTCGAGTCTTTGCTGAACAAAGTCTCGGATTGAGGGCGACTAAATCTAGTCCAGTTTAATCCTCAGAAGACACAAGTTTGCGCGTTTACTGCTATAAAGAACCCCTTTGTCGTGTCTCTTCAGTATCAAGGCACTCCCCTTCTTGCCTCAGCCAGTATCGGAATCCTCGGAGTCGACATATCGAGTTACGTGTAGTTTCGTGGTCACTTGAAAGAGAAGGCCAAATTGGCCTCTAAAAAGCTTGGCGTGCTAAGCAGAGCGGGACATTATTTCATGCCGGCACACCGCCTACAACTTTACAAGGCGCAGGTTCGGCCTCACATAGAATACTGTTCCCATCTCTGGGCAGGGGTTCCCCAGTGCCAGCTCCTTCCACTTGACCGCATCCAACGCAGAGCAGCTCGAATCGTCGACGACCGAGTCCTTTCCGATTGGCTCGATTCATTGGCACTGCGAAGAGATGTTGCATCCCTTTGTCTTTCGCGTCTACCATGGGGAGTGCTCTGAGGAATTGTTCGGATTAATCCCAGCCGCCACATTTCACGAACGCATATGCCGGCAAAACTCGCGATACCATCCACATCATCTGGATGATTGGCGGTCTACCACTGTGCGATTTAGAAGATGTTTTCTTCCTCGCACGACTTCCTTGTGGAATCGATTACCATCAGCGATTTTTCCGGACCGATACGACTTAGAGACTTTTAAGAAAAGAGCGTACTCTTTTTTAAAAGGCCGGCAACGCATCTGCAATTCCGCTGGTGTTGCAGTTGTTCATGGGCGGCGTAAGTCACTTATCATCAGGTGAGCCGCATTCTCGTTTGCCCCCTCTCCTATAAAATAAAATCACCACTTACCATCAGGTGGAATCGTGGTCAAGCACTGGCTTATAATAAGTTAAAAAAAATGTTGCTGATTGGTAGCAGTAATCAGTTAGAGGGTAGTCACATCATCATCAGCCCGTAAATGAGCTCAGGGATTAGCTTAATTCGATAGGTCTGTTAGAAAAATTAACTATTGCAGTACCAGTCTGGGTATTTCATACTACGAAAGTGACTGCCTAAGCCTTAGCAGCAAAAGTAGGTAGAAAGTGGTACAAACCCACTGTGGACGGAATCCAAGGCATAAAATGTGTGGCACCACCTAGTGTGATGAATATTAGTATACTTGCTTTAGGTTGAAGCACATAATGAACGACGTTTTTTGTATACAGAATAAAAGTGATGAGCACACAGTCCACCTTTTTTTATAGGATAGCGTGACAAACCAGCACACAGTCCACCTGATGGTAAGTGGTTGCTGCGGCCCATAGACATCTACATCTATCCTCTGTTACAAATCAAAATGCAGATGCGTTGTCACCCGTGAGGACTAAGATGGAATGCCTCTTTTCCAGTAAAATGGGTCTCCGGTTCTTTACACTCACCATACGAAACATAGCAATATCAAGCTGCCATTTTACGCTGGTATTTTGTGACAGCGTGGTCCTTCCCCAGTCGAGCCGACCCATTCATGCTACAACTATACTACTAATATAGCTAGCTGTAGCATTGCTCTTCCTCGTATAAACCACCTGATGGTAAGTGGATGTTGTGGACCATAGACATAATCATTTATACTACTCAATTAAGAATGGAAACGCAGATGCGTTGTCTTCCCTGAGGACTAAACATACGAAACACAGTAGCATTAAGCTGCTATTTGAAGGTGGTATTCTACGTGGTAGAGCCATACTGCAGCTATATTATGGTTGTAGCACGAATGGGTTGGCTTGCCCGGGGAAGGACCACGCTCTCACAGAAAACCAGCGTAAAATAGCAACTTTATGCTGCTGTGTTTCGTATGGTGAGTGTAGAGAACCGGAGACCCTTTTTACTGGCAAGGAGGCATTCCATCTTAGTCCTCACGGGTGACAACGCATCTGCATCTTGAGTCTTTATTGAGATAGATATAGATGTCTATGGGTCACAGTAACCACTTACAATCAGGTGGACTGTGTGCTCGTTTGTCACCTGATCCTATAAAAAAAAGAACAAAGAGATCGTGGTCCTACCCCTACAGCCATAATATAGCTGCAGCGTGGCTCTACCACGTAATAAACGTCACGTCTCGATGTAATGAGTATACCTGCATTAGGTTGAAGCACATGGCTACGAGCGCCATACCCAGCATCAGGTACATGGAGCACACGATGAACGACGTCTCGATGCGCGGCGTGTACACGCGCTCGCCCGGCACGATGTCGCCGAAACCGATGCTGCGGTACATACGCAAGAGTTAAGGTGATTTCTTATCGTAAGAGTTTAACTCTTAAAAGAAAGTAAAAACTGACTTCAAAGAAATTATTTTTTATTTATTTCACGTTCTGAAGTCGGTGCTCAAACATAGTGAACAATTAAAGAACTGGTTCTTTTTTCGCTCTAAGGCCAAGTATAGCCATTCAGCGGGGAAACGCAGCCAGCGTTCTTGGCACGATACCGCGGGGAGTAGGACTGTATGATAATTAAGTTACTAGTTTTAGTTTTTTTTTTTTTAATATTATAGTTTTTTAATATTATATATTAAAATCTTCTACATCTTCATCTTCAAGAAGATGTAGTGACAAAAATTGAGAAAGGTATGCTGAGATGGTTTGGCCATGTCGAGAGAATGAATGAAGAACGATTGACGAAAAAAGTGTATAAGGCGAGTGTGAATGAAAGTGTTGGAAGGGGTAGACCTAGGCGGACATTTCTAGACCAAATCAGGGACGTCTTGAAAAAAGGCCAGGTCAAGAGTACCCTAAACCGTAGAGCATGTATGAAGGGAATAATGAAAGTGGACGAAGCAAAACAAGTATGCAAGGATCGTAGCAAGTGGAAAGAACTGGTCTCTGCCTACCCCCACGGGAAAGAGGCGTGATTATATGTATGTATGTATGTATATATTAAAATAATTAACTAAAGGTCCGATTTCAGGATGTGAAATTATTTGAATAATCTTTGAAATTGGTTTCAACCTTTTTATCTCAATCTCGGTATCATCTATATAAGTATTACCAAGTTAATAAAATAAGAAGAATTAAAATCTATTCACAATTGGTAAAGATATCGCGTAACATACGTACAAAAAAAACACGCACACACACATACACGCACACAAACGTACATTGTAAGCCTTCTCCTTTTCTGAATTGGGCTAAAAATTTTGTTAATAGAATTAGGCGTTACTTTGCGGAAATCGTTTTTATAAAATATTTTACAAATTAATTAGCTGAAATTCGCATTTTAAATAAAATAATGTGTCTTACTCGATTGAAGATCGGACCACGCAACTCTGATTTATTTATTGAATATTTACAATAATTTAAATCAATCTGATCAAGAAGTTGCTGCGGCTTTTGATAAACATTTAACTTATATTCCATGTTATTGCTTAAAACAAAATCTAAAGGCTTCTTCAAAAACTGTTAAATTCTATAGAGTATTGCTAAACGATACCGTTAAATATTTTAAAACTATTGATGTTTAGAAGACGGTAGACTTATAGGGGACTTCCATTAAAGTTATTGCATATATAATAGAAACAACAGCACCGTATGTAGCTACAATTTTTAATAGAGGCATCGAATCTCGTGTGTTTCCTGATTTAATGAAACACAATAAACTCATGCCTTTATTTAAATCTGGTAGTACATTAAGCCCCGCCAATTTAGACCAATTTCTATGCTGACATTTAGTAAACTTTTTGAAAAAATCTTTTAAATCAGATATTATGTTTTTTTTTTTTTTTCAATATAAACTAACCTACAAGAGCCACCATTAAACGCATCCGTGGAGTACTGCGATGAATATTATTTATTAATTGTAATATAAAGAAATAAACAAAATTCCTTCATAAAAATCAACTCGACAACTGATGCCGGTGTTGAGCTCATTAACATTTTGTGCATGGGAAAATTCAAAGGATGCTGTGAGTATAATTTGTGCCTTAGACTGTGTTCAACATGAGACATTAATCAGGTAGCTACAACACTATGGTGTTCCAGCGGTGATTGGTCGCATGTTTTATCGCATGACGCAGTCGCTCGCTCCTTAGGTAGAGAGCGGTTGCATCATCGATTTGTATAAAAGGCACTTGTTTTGGCTCGCCGCTCACTTAGCGGTTAGCCAAGAACATAACGCTTAAACTTATTATTTCATACTTAATTAAGTATTAATGGATGTTCTTCAAGGCTCGTTCAAACATTCCGCTGGATTTCGTGCTGATTCTTCCCAAGACAGAGGTTTTCCCGAAACAGAGGTAAGAGCATAAAATGAAAGAGACCGAAGCGAACAGAGGTGGGAGTGTATCCTTTTAACTTACATCGAATGAAAAATATTATATTATATTACATGGTGACCTTTATAAGGAAGGAGAGCCTTACCGTACATTTGTGTTAAATTTTGATGACTGTTAATGGTGATGTTAGTAACTGATAAATCGTTTGGTCCCCATTTTTACACAATTAAAATTTGAGGAATAATTACCTGCTAAGTGATATAAAACAGAAATAAGCTCCGTCAAGCTTATCCCACTTCTCCCACAGGCCAAAAATCATCGAACCGAACAAAATGTACCTGGAAATGAATGAAATCATAAAACGACAAGGTACTGATTTAATTCTCTTCATCACCATCATCAAAGCCCTTCACAAGTCTACTACTAAACATATATCTCTCTGACGGAATACCACAAAGCACGGTTCTAAGGCATCTTTTGTACAGTGGTAGAGCCAGGCGGCAGCTTTTGCTGTCGCACGGATGGGCCGGCTCGAACCGGGGTGGTACCACGACCTCACAGAATACCAGCGTGAAGTAGAGGTTTACCTCTGGGTTTCGCTTGGTGAGTGCAGGTGGCCGGAGGCCCTTTTTACTGGAAATGAGGCATTCCATCCTAGTCCTCACGGGTGACAACGCATCTATATTTTGATTCGCAAACGAGGATAAATGTAGATGTCTATGGCCCACAGCAACCACTTACCATCAGGTGGACTGTGTGCTCGTTTGTCACCCTATCCTATAAAAAAAAAAGAAAAAATCTTTATCCATCGACTCCCTGGATGTTTTAGGTCGTTACTCCATCTAGTAGGGCCTTACACTTTGCTTACAGCTACGAGGCCACCACTAGCCACTAGAGAAGACTTTCTACTCAATGGCTGTCGGTTTTTCTAGATATATGGCCGGCCCACTGCCACTTCAGCTTACTGATCCGTGAGTTACTCTAGTCTAACGGGCATATCTTTTTTACGAATTATATCAAGCAATGAAAATCTGCATGGAATTCTTTTCGAAATTTTAAAATATTCACGCTGGGTTTCTTGCTGATTCTTTCATTTTTTTCGAACCAGTGGTAAAAGCACAAATGTCTTTCAATATAATAATTTCAACTTAATTTCAATTCAATATAATTCTTTGTAATCTGTATTGAATAAAATTTATTCTATTTATTCTGTTCCAATTAGCACGTGAGATATAAGAGCAGGACTCACAATGGATGTAAAGAAGTTGATATAACTACAAAGTTAGTAACTAAAGTTAAGTAGACAAAATCTAATAAAAGTCTAGACTAGATATACGAGATCGATCTCTGTCTGTAGTAAAATTGAATTAAAAAAAACTTTATCTTTTATTACTCGTAAATGAGGTAATCTTAAAAAATTCTATCCATCTATTACAGCGTATAAAAGTCCACTGCCGAACATAGGCCTCCTAAATTGTCTCATACATATCCATTTTCCACGCAAGTTGGCAATCGCAGTTTATATTATCTTAAGATGTTATTACTGCTGTCCATTTCGTTTCCCTAAGCCTCTTACGACACCCACGGGTTGATATATATATATATATATATATATATATATATATATATATATATATATATATATATATATATATACAGTGGTCACTCACCCGACCATGATCGCGACGCACACGCTGATCGGAACCGTGATGGTCTGCGCGTCGAACGTGACATAGCTGAAGTCGCTGGACGCGCCGCTGTCCACGGCGTATGGTGGGACTGACACGCCGCGTACTGGCCGTGGAGACCTTGCGCTACGAGCCTGGGGCATTGATGTACTACGCATGTAGTCTGCCCTCCTATTTCAAATAAAATTTTCTAAGTCCTACATTCCTGCTAGGTAGGGATGTGGTTTTTTTGTGTTAGAATAATGTTTACAAACGATTACACAGTCCACCTGATGGTAAGTGGACGCTGTGCACCATAGATATCTACATTTATTGTTATTTAAGAATCAAAATTCAATTGCGTTGTCACCTCTAAGGACTAAGATAGAATGCGTGAATGAGTTTCCAATAAAAAAGGATATCCGGTTTTCTTCTACACTATACGAAACACATCAACATTAAGCTGTTATTTTACATTGGTTTTCTGTGAGAGCGTCGTCCTACCCGGTCGAGCCAACTCATTCGTTTTGCAACCACAATATTGCTGCAGCGTGGCTATATCACGTCAAAACTCTGGTTTACGTGATAGAGAAATACTGCAGCTATATTTTAGTTGTAGCACAAACGGGTCGGCTCGACCGACGAAGTACCACACTCACAGAAGACCCTTTGATGAAAATTAGGTATTCCATCTTAGTCCTCAGAGGTTATAACCACAGCATTCACTTACCATCAGGTGGAATGTATGCTCGTTTGCAAAAGAAAGTTCTATATTACGAACAGACACTTCAATTTTATTTATATGTATGGATTTAAATTTCAATATACCTATGATGGTAAATCGGATAAGGCGGCATCCTGTACTCCGGCGTAACGTCCGAGTCCGAGGCGCTTGGTCGCCAGACCTCCGGGCGTTCTATGCTCTCCGCTTCACTGAACTCCATCTGTTAACGACAAACTTATTCGTAAGGAACGTTAAATTTCGGTCGTCGGTTCGGTTGTCGATATTCCATCTATTCGATCCAAATTATTTGATTCATCTTTCGTAATGTGTAAAAGAGTGGAATCGTTTGTCGGCGTCTGTCTTCCCATTCGATTACAATTTGGATGTCTTTAAAGCAAGAGTGAAGAAGGCTTCAGACTCTTTATTCTAAGACGGTGCGATTTACCAACAGAGAGAAATCAGATTTAATTAACACTTACCAAGTGGGATTCTTATCAAGCATTGGCGTAAAGTGAGTAAACATATATCGTTCTTAAAATCTTGAAATATACAATAAGCATTTGTTCGTTCTACTACAATATATACGCAAACTTGTTATTTTCAAGTCAGTCGCAATTAAAGAATCAAAGTGCAAGACATAGTGGTTTTCTTTTACACGTGATACAAACATAAGTGCACCTTAATTACATCAACACCATTTATATTAATATTCTACAGGATAATAATAATATCCTCCAGACAGAATTTGAGTCACGGCGGCCCATCTTTATGAAGTCTAGCCATATGAGTAGGAGAGGGTTATAATGCACGAGTGTATACGCAAGCACAGGTGCACTCTCTGTTCCCTCACTCTCTTAGTCCGATTGAACGGCAAGCTGACACGACCAGAGAGAGATCAGGTGCAGGACCAACGGCTTAACGTGTTTTCCGAAGCAGGCTGCTACTGAAACTTTCTTAACAGACATGCCCCACAACTGGTTTCAATTCATCAATAGTCTTTACGTCCACTAAATCAACGATGTAGTCAAAGAAGAAAAATTTGGTGGAAGTAGTGAACAATAAGACTTACTTGAGTCCTTAAACGGACCACCCGTCGTCTGGTGAAGCCGGGACATCCCCGACAGAGACAGACTAACGCGTACAAGCATTTGAACCAGCGCGCTAATAGTTGCCCTGAAATAAACAGTCAAAGAATCAAGCGATGGTCAGAGAACCTTATGAAAAATTTATTTTTTGTAGCGAGTAAACACAGGTTAATATAACTAATCCAATATTTCTAACGATCGACTTTTCCTAGGGATAATAGCTTAAGATATGATAAGCGATTATCCCTTAATTATATAACTGTATTCCCGTATTCGGTAACAAACAGCAGAATTCTTTTTTTAATAGACAGTGACATACGCGCCCACATTTCATCTAATGGTAGGAGGTTAGTGCTCTCATGCTGAGATCTATAGACCGTACTTTGACTTTGCTCAGACTTTACTGTCGAGCTAAGGCAATGTCGGTATTTATAGAGCTAACTTCGAAGTCGTGCTGAGTGCGCGCTTAGCAAAACCTAGGTCAAGGAAATCGACGACTTCCGTAAAACTCAGGATATTATTCGAAACCACAGTATTAACTTTAAATTGTTGTTTTTATGTTACTCTAATTATTTATAACAATAAATAGGTAGTTTTACGTCGTCTTCTAGTTTTAAATAGCATTAATCCATTTTCTATTAACGTAATTTCAAACTTATTTCGAATTCTTTTAAACTTTTTTTTATTTTGCACTTTTCTCACTCGTTCCCGTTCTCATACGCCCGTTTTCTTTATCATATATTAATAATTTAGTAATGAAATACAATTTGGCCTGTTTTCGTTTTTTATATACATACTAGCTGACCAGGCAGACGTCGTTCTGCCATTTCAGACGACCATTTGCTTTCCTAAAAAAAACTACTAAACTTAGTAATGAAAAAAATTGATGGTCACTTATCGGGACAAAAATTATCCCATCTCTCAAGTTGGACCAAACTGCATACAGTGAGCAAAATTTCATTGAAATCAGTTCAGTAGTTTAGGAGTTCATCGCGGACAAACAATGTAACATGTAATATTTATATATAAAGATATATATATTAACTTTATACAATATAGTCAAGAACATAATGCGTGGAATAAAGCATCTATTAATTTTTTGACTATCTGGACTTTAGCATAAGCTTGAGACTAAGCTAGTCTCAGCCCGATACAACTATAAATTGAGAACCAAAGATTATGCTAAGCATATACTCAGCTAACTTTTTCGTAAGTAAAGTCTGAGCAATGTGAAAGTACGGTCTATAGATCTCAGCCTCAGTCTAGTTTAACACTTACTTCAAAATGTCACTACCCCTTTTCAGGCCGCGAGCCCTGAGTGCGATGAATTTGTAAAAGTCAATTAGCTAACAGCACTAACATCAGAAAAAAATGATGCACCCCTGATGGTTGGCTTAGTAAGTTTTACTTGGAAAGAATTGAAAAATTTGTCAGACAAGTTGTTTGTACTCATAGTATATTTGCTGCTTATCTTTTCAAAATCAAAATCAAAATCAAATTCTTTATTTGCTAGTAAATAGGTACAAAAATATTTTGTTCTTGGTGTTATAAAACGAATGTGTTGAGAAAACCTATTTAGCTGTTTTCAACAGCATGCAAATGTCCAAAAGTTTTTAAAAGATAATTATTTCTAAACTTAATCTAAAACACATAACTAAAAACATCCTTTTACAAATTTTATAAATAAATAAATTAATTCATGCATCGAAAATTTAATCACTACAATTTAAAAACTCATTTATTGTGTAAAATGTTTTTTCTACCAGCCATTGCCGTAATGAAATTTAAAACTTGTTGTATGGTAATTGCTTAATATGTGAGGGTATTTTGTTATAAATAGTGTTGCACATTGCATAGCTATTTTTTGAAAGCGCTTACTTTTTGGAATTGTGTCAAGTACTAGTTTATCTGGGTTCCGTAAGTTTATTTTTGTAACATCTTTAGCTTGTAAAAACATGTGCTTGTTTTGCTTTACAAATTTGCCAACCTCAAATATATAGAGGCAGGCAAAAGGAAGTATGTTTAAACTCTTAAAATAAGGCTTGCATGACGTGTCCGATGGGATGTTACTTATAGCTCTAATACAGCGCTTTTGAGCTAAAAATACTTTTTGACAGTCTGTGCCATTACCCCACATTAAAAGGCCGTATCTGATAACAGATTCTACATATGCAAAATACGCTGTGATCGCAGATTTAAGTCTGCCTTCTTGTACTTAGTGTGCAAATAAAGCCTAAATAAACAAATAAAAAGAAGGGAAAAAACTCACCAACATTGGTGACATACAAAAGGAAGAGAGGCATCCCGAGTAACGCATAGAATATCGTCGTAATTTTCCCCCAACTTGTCCGCGGGCTTAAGTGACCATAACCTGGAAATTGTAAACAAATATTAACATAATGTTTTAAACTAACATCAAACAAAAGGTAAGGACTACAGAGGATCTTTCATGTAAAGACAAAATTCTTTGATAGGCTGCCAAATGAGAAATCCTTTTAGCAGATCCTGTACAGTTATAGAAATATATAACAAAAAGCCTGTAACTCCTGTAAAGTTCATTATCATAATCAGTATTAAAACGTAAAAAAAATATATGGTCTAGTTTTCTAAAGTTATTTCTAACTTTAGGAAACTAGACCATATACATAACAGTGGTAGAGCCACGTGGCGGCTTTTGCTGTCGCACGGATGGGCCGGCTCGAACCGGGGTGGTACCACGACCTCACAGAATACCAGCGTGAAGTAGAGGTTTACCTCTGCGTTTCGCTTGGTGAGTGCAGGTGGCCGGAGGCCCTTTTTACTGGAAATGAGGCATTCCATCTTAGTCCTCACGGGTGACAACGCATCTGCAATTTGATTTGTAATAGAGGATAGATGTAGATGTCTATGGGCCGCAGCAACCACTTACCATCAGGTGGACTGTGTGCTCGTTTGTCACCCTTATCCTATAAAAAAAAATATTTTTTTTTAATAAAAAGTAATTTTATTTACAAACTAGCTGTTCCCCACAAAGTCGCTCGCGTGTTATTGTTTTTATTTTTTTGCGCTGAACCCTAATTCTTTTTCTAAAATAAAGGTAGCCTAAGTTATTCCTTATGATATCAGTTATCTGCTAGTGAAAGTTCCGTTAAAATCGGTCCAGCCGTTTCGGAGATTAGCCGGAACAAAAAGACAGACAAAAATTTCAAAAATTGTATTTTAGTTATAAGTACCGTATTTACTTTCATATGCATTTAGTAAAAAGCTGTAATTTTGACATTACAAATAGACACTTCAATTTTATTTATTTGTATAGATTGTATATGGGTTTACTATCTCTGCATTAGGCGGGGAGTAAGCCATTTAAGTAGTTATATTTTAAATCTGTTTGCATATAAACATTAACTGTCGGAAATGAAAATACAAGTGTGTGGCATATTTACACAACATATGGCATATGAATATGACACAGTTTTTGTTCTGAATTTCCGATCAAGTTGTATACACAGAAGTCTTTATACATATTAGACAAAATAACTTTTAATAAGAGTAATAATTACCCTTTGTAATTATAACCATCTTTTGTTAAGTTGAGTTTTACCTCAGTCAGAAAAAAATCGAACTGAAATAAATTGCTTCTTCAACAAACAACACAAATGTCTAATCAAGTAAAAAGAGATGTCATCTGATAGACAGACACTTATCGATATTGATTTCTTGAAAGTTTTAGATCGGAACTCGTAATTAGATTTCCCGGAAGATTGAAACGTCGCGAGCCGTGACCTAAAGGCCAGTGACCGATGTCAGTCTACTTTGTAAGTTACATTGAGTTTGCGTTGGTCAAAGTGCGTTGTATAAGCAATAGATTTTAGTCAGAATTCGTTATAATACTAGAATGAAAAAGGAGTACTTATTTTTCTGCCGACTTCCAAAAAGGAGACGGTACTCAATTCGACTGTATGTTTTTTTCTCTTTTTTTATGTGTGTTACCTCATAACTTTTTACTGGGTGAACCGATTTCGATGATTCTTTTTTTATTTGAAAGCTGATAATTCTCGTGTGGTCCCAAATGAATTGATCAAGGTCAGGCTAGTAGTTATTGAGTTATTCTTAATAACTTATATTGAAGTCGGCTGTACAAAATTTTTAATTTTTAATTATTGTGTTTAGATATACAATTAAACCCGGTAGATGGCGTTGTTGTTGAGATCCAGAAATCACAGTCGCAGTCGACTTACGGATAATTGACCGTAACTTAGTGCGCAATATATTGATTAACATCTAATAGTATACATAGAAGTATTTGAATATGTATGTATGTCCGAGTAGAACGAGAATGACCGACATAGCCGAACGGATTAGTAAGCTGAAGTGGCAATGGGCCGGCCGTATAGCTCGAAGAACCGACAACCGATGGGGATCCGCCCACTAGACGGAGTGACGACCTGGTAAGAAGTGCAGGAAGTCGATGGATTCAGGTGGCTTAGGACCGTGCTTTGTGGCATTCCTTGGGGGAGGCCTATGTTCAGCAGAGGGCTGTAATGATAATGATGATGATGATGTATGCCCGTTTCTATGTTCACCCTTAAGTTTGAAACTAATCTTCGAATTTTGACAAACAATGTATAAATGTATCAATAGATTTGTCATAATTGCGCGGGTATAGGTACAGGTTATGGCTATATATTGTCATTACATAATTTAAAATTAAAAAGTTTGTACAGCCGACTTCAATATAAGTTATTAAGAATAACTCAAATAACTCAAAAACGATTGGTCTGACCTTGATCAAATTCATATGGGACCACACGTGAAGTATCAGCTTTCATATAAAAAAAGAATCATCGAAATCGGTCCACCCAGTAAAAAGTTATGAGGTAACACATAAAAAAAACATACGCGTCGAATTGAGTACCGTCTCCTTTTTGGAAGTCGGCAAGAAATAAATATGGCAGACGGGAACTGTCAAAACATGTACATTAAAAAAAAAATCTCACTGAAAACATGAATGTAAAAAATTAACTTTAAATATAAACCAACTTCTAACAAATAAAAATAATAAAATAATTTCACCTTCTGAAGTCGGTTCTTAGACTTACTGTATAAAGTGTGAAAACACCGACTTTCGAACGTGAAGTTGTTTTACGTGGTAGAGCCATGCTGCAGCTGTATTAATAGTATAGTTGTAGCATGAATGTGTCGACACGACCGAGGAAGGACCGCACTCTCACAGATTACCAGCGTAAATTAGCAGCTTAATACTGCCGTGTTTCATATTCCATCTCAGGAAACGAGGCATTCCATCTCTGTCCTCACGGATGACAACGCATCTGCATATTGACTCTTAATTAAGAATAAATGTACATGATGGCCCACAGTATCCACTTACCATCAGGTGGACTGTGTGCTCGTTTGCCAGCCTTATTCTATAAAAAAAAAACTCTTTGTGGGTGGAATTTTCAACTATTTAATAAATAATATTAAATTGAAAATTTCAAAAACTTTTCTTGAATCATAGCTAAGAACACTCACGATGAAGTCACTTTTCAAACCAAAAAAATCACCCCTAAATCGGTTCACCCATTTAAGACCTACAATGCCACAGACGGACACACAGATAGACAGACAGACAAACATAGCGATCAAACTTATAACCCCACTCTCTTTACGTCGGGGGTTAAAAAGTATCATCACAATTGACGAAGATTTTGCGGTAACATACATACAAAAAAAAACAATACAGTCGAATTGTGAATTTTCTCCTTTTTTGAAATCGGCGAAAGAGGGGCCAAGTCGGGTACAAACGACGTACGGGATTGTCGGTTTCACTGAAGAGTTGAAATTTGAACGCATGCCAAGTTCTAAAGCAATACCTTAAATCATAGCTAAAGGACGTACAACGTTATCTATTTAATTTAAAAGAAAATTTGTTACGTTCTGTGATATCGAATTTATAACCTGGCAAGTTTAAATAGTCAATAAATTACCTTAAATGTGATGGTATTTTAAACAAGCTTAACTTTTAACTATTTTAGTTGGTCTATTTTATACTAGAAACATTTTAGTTGGATATAAATACAGTAGCTCCAGTTTCTACAGAAATGAGAGTGTTGAACGATCCATATTCCACCTTATGGTAAATCGATTCTGTGTCCCATAGACACCAATTGTAATAAGAATTAAAATATACATGCATTATCATCTGTGAGGACTAAGATATTTTATGTTACGAGCTTCGGGTTCGAAACAATTAAAAATGCCGAGTTAAGTACCAAAATTGACACTTTAATTACAGAACACTAATTACAACTTAAAACCACATTAATAACAAAACACAATTGTACTACTGATCACTTTAGTTCGCAGTTGTATCGCTTCGAAGTATTCGCTTGTATCGCCAATTCGACACTGACTCTAATTGCGCTCTATACCGGCCTTATATAGGGCCTCAGATAGTTCCAGAATCTTCTACTGTAGAAGCATCTAGAATGTTTGAGTACATACCGGTCCCGATTGACTAGGTGTCGATAGTTCTAGAAAGTTCTTCCATGGAAATTTCTAGAAGGATCTTGACTCTCCTAGTTCTGCCACTCAATACTAGAAGGCGCTAATGGTAAGTAGTGGCGCCAGGTACAATAATTAATTGTGGCCCGTAACAATATAATGTGATATAAAAACTAACAATTTTCTGTTATAGACTGGCAAACGAGTTCACACTTCACCTGATGGTAAGTGGATGCTGTGGGCCATAGACATCTACATTTATTCTTAATTAAAGATCAAAATGCAGATGCGTTGTCACCCCTGATGACTGAGATGGAATGTCCTGTTTCCTGTAAAAAGGGTCTCCGATTTTCTACACTCACCATATGACACAGCAGCATTAAGCTGCTATTTTACGCTGGTATTCTGTCAAAACGTGGTCCTACTCCGGTCGAGCCATTTGTGCTGCAACTACAATATAACTGCATCATGGCTCTACTACGTAAAACAATACGAAACTCAGCAGCATTCCACAGTCTTAAGAATTATAATTATTCTACTGTTTTTGCTAGTATTTTGAAAGAGCGTAGCCCTTTCCCGAACGAGCTGACTTTGCTGTAGGCATATTACAGTAAGTAATTGAAGTGACTGACCGTGTTTGTCATTTGTCACTCATTGTAGAATGAGTGGAAATACAAAAACTGGCAATGTCTTACCTATTGTTGTAATAACTGTCAGTGAGTATAGAAATGCGGAGGAAAAGCTCCACTGCCGCGAAGATCTGCCTCCGTCCCAGCCATTCCGCACCGCTGTTACGATCTTGCTCTGATATTTATTCAGCTCTATGCCTATACTAAAAATAATAAAATAAAATTAGTACTTAAAATATTAACGCGCATTTAAAGTTAAATTAAATTCATACATTCATTACAGCCTTTCAAAAGTCCACTACTGGCCATAGGACTCCCACATAGGTTGCCACACTTGGCAAGTGGACTGGTAACCGCAGTTTTTTTTTTACTTTGATAGAGTTGTTATCAAGATACCTCCGTGGCATAGCTCCGTGGCACAGAGGCTTAGTATTGAGCTGCTGTGCTGGGGGCTGCGGATTCCCATCTCGCACTAAACAAGTATATGGCCTACAAATAATTGCTCCGGGTCTGTATGTTCGTCCTTGTGCAATTTGTGTATGTGAATTGCCTCCCAAATACGGGATACAATTCAAATGGGTGAAGCGTTTTTATAAAATAAAAAAACTAAAAGGAAAGAAAATGTTGCTGCCCATAACCATTTTCAGTTACACTCTGCCACCTCTTCCGACACACACAAGATAACTTTGTTTTTTTTTTCACTTATTATAAGCCAGTGCTTGACCACAATCCCACCTGGTGGTAAGTGGTGATGTAGCCTTAGATGGTAAATCACACTGTTTTATCGTAACAAAAGCCTATTCACTCTTGCCTTGAAGACGCCCAGATTGTGTTCCGTTAGATAGACGCCGGCAAATTATTCCACTCCTTTGCTGTACGTATTACAAAAGACGAAGTAAACCGTTTGATTCTAATGCGTGGAATATCAACAAAAAAGGGATGAAGACCCGCCGACCGCCTGGTTGTCCGATGGTGGAAAGGAGAGGGAGGAATTAAAGCGTGTAATTCCTGCGTACACTCGCCGAAATGCATCCTATAGAATACCGAGAGACTAGCTACACTGCGCCTGTGCTCGAGGCTGACAAGATTGCTTTCAACCAAATCAAGGTCACCAATGAGCCTCTTAGCACGTCTCTCCACTGAGTCCAATGCTGCCAGGTCGCATTTTGCAGCACCAGGTCATACGTGACAGCAGTACTCCATGCACTACCGGACTTGAAGTAGTGGATTATCTTACACCACCACTACACGGTGACGACGAGGTATTTTTTTAATTATTGAACTAGGCTTACTCTTGACCTCCATCTGGCCCGAGAGCAAAGATGAGGTCTACAATGAAGCGAGTTTGTCTAGGAGAAGCCTGTTAACACGCACCTTGAAGAGGTTAAGGTTATTGGCACTCGGAAAAACAGACGCTGCGCCGGCAGGGCATTCCCCTCCTTGGCTGTGCGCATTATGAAAGATGAGTTATAGCGCTTAGTACAAATATTTTTTATAGAATAAGGGTGACAAACGAGCACACAGTCCACCTGATGGCAAGTGGATGCTGCGGCCCATAAACATCTACATCTATCATCGATTACAAATCAAAATGCAGACGCGTTGTCACCCGTGAGGACTAAGATGGAATGCCTCGTTTCCAGTAAAAAATGGTATCCGGTTCTCTACACTCACCATAGGAAACACAGCAGCGTTATGCTGCTATTTTACGCTGGTATTCTGTGAGAGCGTGGTCCTTCCTCGGTCGAGCCGACCCATTCGTGCTACAACTATACCAGTAATATAGCTGCGGCATGGCACTACCGCGTAAAACTTTCATTGATTTCTTACCTATGCTTTAAAGCGGTTTCATTGAACAAATTGAGCGCTAGAGTAACGTTTTGCCAGAGATACTGAGCAGTGTAGTTCCTTTCAAGCGTCATGTTGTGTACACGTTCTATCTCGCTCGCTCCTTCAATGGCTTGGAACATGAAGGCCCCTGTAAATAAATAGAGCCTTCATTAACAAGTATTCTACATCCATCTATTTATCATAACCTTTAAAAAACCTGATTGACAACCCTTTTCATTTATTTACAAAATTAGAGCAAGCCATAAAAAAATTAATTATTTTTGAAGTTTCATACACACAAACACTCACGCCTGTCACCCAGAGGGGTAGGCAAAGACTACGGACTTCCATTTGGCGCGATCCTGACACGAGTTTCATAATAAACGCAAAATCAATAAGTTATGCAAAATCTCTTAAATCTTATCACCGTTACCGTAGAGAGGTGTGTCAGGATCTTGCCAAACAGAACTCCATAGTCTCTGCCTACTTCTCTAGGTAACATGAATGGGAATTTATGAATGTATATTATGTGCTAGCGACCCGCCTCGGTTTTGCCCAAAATGATTTATGACTGTAGTGATATTTAGATATATGTTAGTCGAAAGACCATTTATTTTATCAATTTTGTGTTTTAAATCTCCCAGGTTTTCGGATTAAACATAGCCCAGTCCTGTGATTGCTCTTTGTTTGTTCATGAAGTTTCATTACAATCGGTTCAACCATATCGAATATTAGCCAGTATAGACAGACAGACAGATTTTTTCTAACGACTTACTGGGTGAACCGATTTCAATGGTTTTTTTTTTAATTGAAAGCTGTTGCTTCACATGTAGTCCCATATAAATTTGATTAAGGTCTGACCAATAAATTTTGAGTTATTCTTAATAACTTATATTGAAGTCGGTTGTACAAAATTTTTAATTTTTAATTATTTAAATAGTTACTCATATCATTATTACGTGCTAAAAATACCCTCAGCTATATAAGGCAGTTATTACAGACAGTACACTTCAATTTTATTTATATGTATAGATATAGATTCGGAAAACGCTACTAGATGGGCAACCTTGTTGTATTTTCTTTGTCACCACTTACGACACGTACGGGACTATGACAAAAAAAAATCTAAAAGTTATTCGTTTGTTTTGGTCACATCTTATAACTTCAAACTATGTAATTAACCGTTGTTTTCAGTATTTATTATTTTAAACTCAAATTCTTAACTAGTTCACTTTATGTGGTCCCAAACAAAAAGTCAAAAACTGACAAAAATGTTGACGGCAAAAATATTTTTGTACTTTAGTCAATGAGCTGTATAGACAATAACACCCCACAGGCGTTAGAAAATAATTTTTTCGGCTTCTTGTTGTTTTTGGAACCCTCCCTGAGAAGGAATTAAAATGAATTTAGAATTTAGAGCCAGGGCGGAATCAGAGACAGTTGAACTAAGTGGCGCAAATATGAGTCTCTGAGAGATGACTACATATTTGTGACATTTGCTATATAGACTATCGGTCCGTGGGGTCCACGTGCGGTAAAGTTTCTAAAGGAACTCTACCCGCGACTGGTCGTTGCTAGTGATAAGAGGGCTGGTTCTTTTCTCGCTCAAAGGCTAAGTATAGCCGTTCATCGAGGAAACGCAACCAGCGTTCTCGGCACGGTACCACGGGAAGTAGGACTGTATGATATTCGTTTTAGTTTTTTTAATAGTTTTCTTAATATTGTACATATTATCTAATATATAATAATATAATAAAATAATATATAATGTTTATCTAAAATATAATGTTTTAATAATAATAATTTTGAAATTAATTCAACATTCAGTTTTGATTAACATTCTTCACCAGATATCCAAATTTCAAGTCTGTATCACACTCCGTCTACCCGCTAGAGTTTCTAACATGAATACTTATACTTACTTACTTATCTTCACGCACAATCCCTGACGGGGTAGCCAGAGAGAACAGATCGCCAAGTGTCACGATCCTTACAAACCTCTTTCGCTTCTTTCAGATTCATTATCTTCTTCATGCATGCACGTCTAGGTATCCGAGTACTTTTGACCCTACCCTCTTCGAGCAATTTGCTCACATGGTCTTCGAAAGTTAGTCTCGGTCTACCTCGACACCTTTTAATATTAACTTTCGCGCTATATATTTTCTTCACCATTCGGTCTTCACTCATTCGCTCAACGTGCCCAAACCACCGAAGCACGCCCTTATCAATTTTTGTGATAAGGTTATCTTTCAAACCTGCCATATTGCGAATCTCTTCGTTTCGCTTTCGGTCGGCCATGGTAACGCCGCACATTTTACGAAGAGATCGCATCTCCACTGCATTCAACTTACTTTTATGCTTCTTCTGGCATACTCAGGTTTCGCTGCCATATAACAAAGTCGGCGTGCACTCTTCGCTACGCCTTGCCTTTTGACTAACGCAGTCAGGGCACCATTGACTTTGTTCCCGGCAGCGACACATTCTAACATGAATAAAACAATATAATGTATTTTGAACATTATTTAAAAAGTTAAGGCGTGAGATTTTTATCACTAAAATGCCGCCCCTTAAATTCTGTCTGCGGTGGATGTGCCTCCCACTCCATCTTGCTACGCCACTGTGTATTCCAATGCTGTAATGGCGTCAAAATACATTAACAAAGAACAAAGTAAAGATAATTTAGACATCCGAGGCAACTCTTTGAAAGTTTTCATCTTAACATTATTAAAATGCAAGATAAATTAATTTATTATTGAGTAAGATGGCAACAGATTTCTTTCGACTACGAACTCCTTTATAATATTCTTTTAAAAATTATTTCGACATCTTAAGGAATTTTCAAACTGAATTTGTGAAAAGTTAAAATCTTTATAAATTAATTAATTAAAGACGTCGCAAGACATCTTTCTCGTAGACTTTTTGTTATAAAAGCATCTTTCTGATCTAATTTCCAACCGAATAAAAAAAAAGGATTTCTCAATTCGACACCGATTTTAATAATTCTTTTTTTTTTTCTTGAAAGCTGATGCGTCTCATGTGGTCTCATATAAACTTTATCAAGATTTGACCAGTAGTTTTTGAGTAATCCTTAATAATGCATATTTAATTAATTTCGACTACATTGATGATGTTCTCATTTTATTTACATTGAAGTCGGTTGTAAATTTTTTTTAATTTTACCACTTGTATTTCTTACAAGTGATTCACCCTGGCTTCGCCTGGGTAGAATCTGGGTAGTTATTTGGATTTAAGATAAACAAAGACCGTTCATTTCATTAATTTTTGGTATTTAAGTCCAAAAAAGTCGCCAAGTTTTTCGGATACGAGTAAAATATAGCCAAGATCACCTCTGGCATTTCTCTCTATCTGTTTGTAAAGTTTCATTACAATCAGTTCAGCCATTCTGAAGATAAACCCGGACAGATGAAATTTTCAAGTTATTTAGCATTAAGCTGCATTTTATGCTGATATTCTGTGAAAACGTAGTCCTACGCCAGTCGAGCCGACCCATTCGTGCTACAACCATAATATAGCTGCAGCGTGGCTCTACCACGTATAAATTACACATAGACAAACATCCAGACCTAGAACATATATTTTTATCACGCGGCTTGTTCCATGATTGATGAATATATGTAAACCCACGGCACTAAGTTTATGTACTTAGCTGGATGGCAGATATCCTAATTTTTAAGTCGTAGAGAAAACCCAAGCATTGCCCACTCTACATAGCTCGCTGAGCAGCCTTGAGCTTCCTCATACGTCCAGCAGTGAAAGACCACGTCTCAGATCAATAAGTTATCACTAACAACACGCACTGGTTGTACAACCTTGTTTTCAAGTTTTGATGTTATACCTGGCAAGAAGATCTACCGTGATCTCCTGACGGAAGTTTAGCGAACAATTTTGCGAATGTTTGCGTAGATACGAGTATATGGATGTGAAAGAAGCAAGAAAGGTGTTTCAGGATGGTGCCAAATGGAATCCCGTAGTCTCTGCCTACCCCTTTAGGTCACAAACTTGAGAGTTAATGTTATATCATGATACATGTGGCTATAAGATGCAGAGTCCAGAAACCATTAGATAGAATGCATGACCGTTTGATACATTAGTATTTATAGGCTGTAATATTTATGTTTATTAGTAATATACACTGTAATTTTCTCTTACCAGCTACAGTGTACGCGACGACGAGAACGATGACGCCAACGTTGCTGAAGAGAAAGGCCAGAAAACCCCTCAGGTAGTTCCTGACGCGGGAAGCGAATCTGCGCTTACGTCGCGGCATTATACACGACGCATCTTGACCACCCGGGCCGGCCGCATCGTGCCACGAAGTATTCGGGCTACCTCACCCGGTGTTTGAGGTTACACATCTGAAAGATGAAAATTAGTACGATACATCTTTACCTTGTCTATTTCTTTGTTTTACCCTGAAAGAAGGTAATGTTTTTCGAGGGTATGTATGTATGTATGGCACGTGCGGCGGCTCCTCTGTAGCTAGTCAGAATTCTTGTAAACAACATGTGCACCGCACACCTGCGCGTTGCGCCTGCAGTGGCGCCCGTCTGGCTAGCTACTTGTTTTGTTTGTATGAAACGGACGGAGCGGAAGCCGTTAAAGCTGAACGCAAATATGTCCGCACCGTATGCGCCGTACGCGCCGTACGCAAATCTTTTGTATTGCCAACAATTTTTGCAGTTTTTTCCAACCACTGGTGTGAAACGGTACAGTGACATTAATCGCTCGGAATCACTATAGAAAGAAATATAGTAATAGCTTGATTATTGGCACAGGAAGAAGAAAATAAAATTCGCAGAAAAAGAGGATTCTGGATTCATAATATTAATTTAAAAAGGCAGTTGTATGGAGAATATTCTATTTTATTAAAAGACTTTTTAGATGATGAATCATTTTTTAGATATTTGGATTAACATACAAGAAATTTTAAGGATTGCTACATATACTAAAACCATATCTTTGAAAAATTCACGATTTAGAAGGCCAATTGAACCTGACTTGATGTATTTTTATTGATAATTAAGTAATCAGGTATAATTGGGCTTTTGAATTTAAATTAACTATCATTATATAATTAATTTAGTTCAGTATTTAAATAATTTATCACTATGTATTATGAAGTATATATTATATTGATAATCGATGCAAAAAAAATTTAAATTTTGTATGATTAATTTCGAATTAATTAAAACTTATAAAAATACAAAATTTATCACGTAAGTCGAAACCACCAGTTTTAGTGTAAATTCCACTAAGTTGGCAACTTTAGAGAACACTGAGTATCAGCACGCGCCGAACGCGCCGCGTTATATGACGTCATAAGCATGCGTCCTTCAATATTTGGATACCTACAACATTTTATAAAATTCGGCGCGTACGGTGCGGGTGTAACGTGCAAAGTTTCATATGATTTCATACAACGAATTCTAAAATACGGCGCATACGGCGCGTATGGCGCGGAAAAAAGTGCGTTCACCTTAAGGGAGTCTTTCTCTGGTGTATACACAAGTGAGGGCAAATGGCGGCTCCATGGCATAGTAGATTAACCATTCGAATCCTACACGGAACAAGTATTTCTATGGCCTGCAAATAACTGTTCCGTGTCTCGGTTTTTATCCTTGTTTGATTTATGTTTGTAAACTGCCTCCACGATACAGGAGAAAATCTTAGTGTGTGTGAAAATCCCACGCACTACGTAAATACATAAACACTATACTGTGTTAGTAACTGTGATAAGATTTATATTTCCTATTTTTGTTTCTGCGTGTATTTAAGTGCCAAATTATCTTTAAAAAATATATATATTTTTCAGTGCAGGAAACGGCTGTGGCATTTCAAATTTTAAAGATGTTATAACTAATGTTTTGTTTATATTTGCACATATTTTATTCGATGTTATAAGTCATAATCTTGCTCAATCAAATGATTGAAAAATTGGGTAGGACTGAGCAGCAGGAAATTGAAGGAAGCAAGTGGCTCAGGACTGTGCTTTGTGGCATTACTTGGAAAAAGTCTATGTTAAACAGTGGATTTTTTAAATTGCTATAATGATGATGATGATAATGAGTAAAAAATATCTAAAGGACAAGATGTTTATAAGTCAGGAGACATCACTAGTTTTTGTCTCTGATTAGTTTGTAGTTATCTTTATTAGATCTCACAACTTTACTTAACTTTAAAAGTTGCTGACTGAGGGTCAGTTTACACAGAGACGTGACGCAAGCTGAGGATGCTTGAAGAGGCCAGTGGTTTTGCACCGCACAGCGCGCCGCCGCAATATGCATCGTGACGTCGTGAGGCATAACGTAAAGTCACTAGCAACGCAACGCCGCAACGCAGCGAGACGCCATGCGACGCGAAAATAGTAGAGACAAGACAAGTCGTCACGACGGTTTAGGCTGCGCTTCGCAGCGTCGTACAGCGTCACGTAGCTTCGCAAAGCGCAGCACCGCTCTTGCACCGTACAAGTTGCACGCCGCGCCTACCGACGAAGCGCCGCTGTGTCGTGATGCGTCGGGCTACACCGCGAGGTATATCCAGGCGCTGCGCGGCATAGCGCGACTCAGCAGAATGGAATTATCTCAATTAAATGTGTATCTCTTTGTTTAGTAGATAAAGTTATATTTTCGATCAATATCTTAAAATATGTGCGCCGCGTAGCAACGCATTAGGTCTCGGTGTGAACTGACCCTGACTTTAGTGATTTAAAAATTTGCATTGATCAGCATAATTTATTACACTTTCACAAATTGTATTAAACATAAGGCTAAGTATATAATTTTTACTTTGTGGTAATTTGTGTGGACTACACGTTAAATACTGCTAGTATGAATTAATTGTATTGTATTACGTCAATGTATAACTGTTGTCTTAATGTGTAACGTATTACAAACATTCAAAAAATTTCATACAATAAGGGGGACATAATAAGTCCCCTAAGTTATTGTATGAAAATTTTTGGCACACAGTCCACTGGATGGTAAGTGGATGCTGGAGCCTTTACACGTCGGATTGCGTCGTTTCCAGTAGAAAGGATCTCTGGTTCTTCACACTCACCATACGAAACACAGTAGCATAAGGCTGCTATTTCAGGCTGGTATTCTGTGAGAGTGTGGTCCCTTCTCCTACAAAACATTAGCCAGTCTAATGGTTCAGATAATAAACTTCAATATAAAATTGACTTGCAAATTAAAACGCTAATTCGCCTAGCGGCGCCATCTGCGAGCTAATCTATCATTTAACAAGGCGTCGAGCCCGGTCATCAGATGCGAGCCCGACCCAAAATTCCCATCACAAATTACAACCGACCCATTCCTGTTGCAGTATGTATTGTCCGATAGTATATAGCTGCAGCATGGCTCTACCATTTAAATACGTTTGTATAACATTAGTAAAATTCAGATCGTCTTTTATTCACAAGATATTAAACCGTGACATAAACAATATATTACGTTACTTATAAACTACCATAACTATCATTGCAATGTGATTTATTTTATATGTTATGATGTTTTTATGTTAATGATATTTCAAGACGTCGTGCGTTATAAATTACTGTGTCATCAGAGGGCTGTGTAAATTTATTTTATTTATATATTCTTTGCATATTTTTCGTCGTATATGCGGTAGAACCATGCTGCTACTAAACTCTGGTCACTTGTGAGGTGGCAACCGCAGTTTTCTTTTTATAATTTTCGATCATATCAAGAATATTCAGCTGCCCATCTCTTGTTTCAGTTTCCCTCTGTAGCCTCTAAGTACACCCATAAGACGACATGAAGTATAGTTATTCTATTTCACGATGAAGTTTTGACTTTGTTTGTTGTTAGCCGTGCACATACACGACACCTACGCACACTAACACAATGTTAGTGTGCATAGCGCCCGCAGCGTACGCACACTAACACAATGTGTATGTACACGACTAACAACAACCAAAGTCAAAACTTCGTCGTGAATAACTACAGTAGATATTCTTATACCGCCACTACACGGTTATCCCACTAATAGCTCTTAGGCTTTCTGTATCTAAGTGTATTTATAGGTGATGGATAGTGACGTCACGAACATACATACATATCACTGGTGAAATCTATGAACTGACGTCAATTTTCTCTACACATTGTAATAGGCACTGACGTACTAGTAGTTGAGCCACGAAGTAAACGATTTTGTTAATATCAGTAATTAATTTATAGTACCGTGTAACGGCGGTGTAAGAATATCCAATACCCCATATCGACCCCTGGGTGTCGTAAAAGGCGACAGAGAGAAACAAACCAGGAGATGAACAGCAGATTCCTCTAAGGCTCAGCGTCCACTAGGCTCGCCGAGCCGAGTCGAATCGAATCACAGAAAGTCGTCTCCTATATATTTACTATGAAACTGCGTCCATTAGCGAATTGAACCGACTGCGCGATTTGCTTGATAGGCGAGTTTCTTCGACGGTGCGATTCGATTCAACTCGGCGCGCCTCAGTCGACGCGGAAAAGTGTTTGCGCGCCAACATATTTTTATTAATTTCTATTTCGTTTTCGTAAGAATCTTTATGTTTAAATAAAAATGAATAAAGAACTATTAATATCACTGTTATAACTTCTGATACACTGTACACCAACAATATCGCCGTAGTTATTTATTTTCATATAAATTATATATTATTTGGGAGCATGCCGTTTCCATTTTCTTTTCTCCTCTTCTTCATCAAAAAGTGTTTGAAATAAAAACATCTCTTCATCCGAGCTGTCCATGACGCAAAAAAGACGTATTTTGATGAAGAATTTGCGATGAGTGAACAATTCAATTCAATTCTTCAGAGATGGACGCACTAGGAATAAATGCGACTCGCTTCGATTCGACGCATTTCTGCTGTAGTCGACGCCTGGCTTAATAGTGACACAAATAAAAAACTGCGGAAGCCAACTATTATTTCTACGTACATTTTTACTATTAAATAAGGACGTATAATGATAACGTAAATAAAATTCGTAACTATTACATAATTATTATGGGTACTTATTTACATTCTTATATAGCCTTGTTCAGTTAGATAAATCTACTTAGATACGTTTTCGTAACCCGCTGTAATAATGACTCCAGACGTAAGACCGACTATAACAATGACGCGCGTCTACGTTGTTAGTGCGGGACACTAAATAGGTTTATGTCACAAAACCAAGGTTCGATTGGCCAGTAAAATGTTAATAAGCCATCAAATTGAGTACAAAAATAGAGTATGACCAACGCGTGAGCCAAATCCATCTGTTT